GCAGAACTAGCAAAAAAAAGGGAAAACAAAATCCCCAAAAAATAAGAAAATAATTTTTTTATGCAGAAAAATAAAATGAACAATATTTGCCTCATAGTTACATCCAGGGTTGCCGGCGTTCAGGACGGGCCGAACGCCTGAACCCGAACGCCCGAACGTTCGGCACCCCCTCTCGATCCGTTCAACCATTCGTCCGAACGGGAAACCCCCCCCTCAAAAAAAAAATAAATAAATAAAAAAAATCAAAAAATCTGGAAAAAAAAAATGTTATGCAGATAAATAAACTAAACAACATTTGCCTCAACGTTACATCCGAAATGATCGGCGAAATCTTTATCCAATTTGAAATAAAAATCAAATAATAAAAATTAGAAAAAAAAAAATGAGAATGAAATTATTGAGTGGGCGAGCACATTTTTGACACCACCATTTTGGCAATTTTTCATATTTTTTTTTGGCTGTGATAAATGGCATGAAAATTTATTTATGAGTATCTTACACAATGGAGAATCTACAAATAAAGTTTGAAAAAATAATATTTTTTTTCATGCCCGGAAATAAAGGCAAAACAAAAAGTGAAAAGAGGAAAAAAACAAATTAGTGAGTGGGCAAGCAAGTTTTGACACCACCATTTTGCCCATTTTTCATGTTTTTTGGGCTGAACAGAATAACTTGAAAATTAAGAGGGACATACCTTACATCACAAAGAACTCACAAAAAACAATTCAGAACAAAATAATAATATTTAGGGGCCAAAATAATTTTTTGCGCGGTCCGAACTCCTTCAGGTTTAGGCCCCGTACGGGGACCCGAACGCCCGAACGTTCGGGGGTCAGCTTAGGGGCCTCTGTACTCGGCCTGGAAACTCTGGTTACATCCAAATTCCTTATTGAATTTTAAATAAAAATAGTATGAAAAAAAAATAATAATAAGAAAATTTATAAGAATGAAAAAAAATAAGTAAGTGAAATAGAATCAAAACAAATAGAATTAAAATTAGTAAGTGAAATAGAATCAAAACAAAAAGTGAACAGTGAAAAAAAAAAATAGTGAGTGGGGCGAGCATGTTTTGACACCACCATTTTTGGTGATGTTTTTTTTGTTTGGCTTCGCAAAATGCCTTCCAAATTTATAGACATGTACCTCACATTATAAAGAACTTTTTAAAAAAATATTAAAAAAAAAATAATAAAAAAAATTTAGGACCCGAGATAGTTTTTGGCGGGGGTCGAACCCCTTGAGGTTCGGACCCCGGACCCCGAACGCTCGAACGTTCAGGGTCCTATGAAACACCCAGGCTGATCTCGGATGGCGGCCGCATATGTGGCTGCGTCCGCGGCTGTCCTGGTCCGCGCCGCGGACCCGATTTTACCAGAATTTTCCTGATAAGAGCTCTACCCACTGAGCGATTGAGGTCATCTGTGAAACCGCATGCTGATTGAGCGCGCGGTCGGCGCTAAAGATTTTGAGCGCCGCTCAATCCCGCGCTCAAAGCGCCTTGAGCGGGGTTTGAGCGGGCGCGGGGATATTTTTTTGCGGGGAAACAAATGCTAAAAAAACAAAACAAAAAATATAGGGTTGTAGATCTCTTTGAGATCTACAACCCTATGTTTTTTATTTTATTTTTTGAATTTTTTGTATATTTTTAAAAAATCCGCCCCCACAAACACACACACGTACGCACACACACACACACATAGACACCCCCCCCCAACAAACACACACACACACAGACACACACACTCACACATATACACATACGCATAAACACAAACGCAAACATAAACACACACGTGCACACACACACACACACACACATGCACATACACACACACACACACACGCGCACCCATCACCCCCCCACCCCCCCAACCCCCCAACC